GCTTTGGGGAGGGAGGGGTAAGGATAAGGCACAGCATTCCTGATGGAAGAAACTTTGCAGGGAAAAATGGTTTCTAGAGGAGCAATGTTTTGATGTGATCAGCTCACTAGAGGCTTAACATCAATTTAAAAGCTAAAGTGCTTACTTTTTGTGAAATTTACCTATCAGGCTGTCTTTAGTACGTTGAATCAGGATTTTTATCATAGCCTTGACTTGGGAGAGAAAGACTGGAATAATTTTTCAGGAATGTTTAACTTCGAAGTATTTTGTATAATGAAATAAGAGCAGTGATATGTCTTAACTCATGTGCAAAAAATCCCTCTTTGTTTTTAAGATGATATGTACCAGATATTCCTGAAATTTCCAAATATGTTTTCTTATGCATGTAGGAGTATATGCATGGATTGGCATCAACTTTGTTCTTGGAAGATTTGAACATACAGATGATGGTAAGTATCTTAATTGTGAACTGGATTTTAGGAAGGACTTCAAGTACGTTCCTGGGTTTTCACTGTTGATGATCTGTTTTTAGACGGTTACGTCAGTGAATAGCATGTGTGCAGATGCTAATGTTGGCTTAATTTGTATGTGAAACTTCCATGATCTGCATTGCTACAAAAAGTAAGTTAGCTAGAAGTGGTGTACTGCTGCTTCAGACCCACCCTAGTTGTATTTCTCACTGCCTTTTCATTGTTTTATCCAGAGGATGAAGCGATTGTGGAGGTGCATGTCCCAGGCAGTGAAAACAAAGAGGCCATCTTTCGTAAGAGGACAGTGGGTATTCTTGACATGGGCGGAGTGTCGACTCAGATAGCATACGAAGTCCCTAAAACTGTAAGCTTTGCCTCTTCACAGCAGGTTATTATCTGTGCAACTTTCTTCTTTTCCTTTTGATTTATTTTAATGCATATTTGTTGTTTTGTTTTCTTTGTTTTGAGTCCTATTCTTCATTACATCACATTCCAAAACCAAGGCAAGAGAAGATGGCAAATACAAGTCCTTCATCAGCTAAGCAATTCATTTGTATTTCATTCACTCAGAAAGTTTATTTCATTAGTATAATTTGCCACTAATTTTCAAGTTTAAGTGGGCATGCGTTCTTTCAGTGTGTGCATGTATGTATGTACAATTTTTAAATTTGTGTTATACTTAAGAGACTGTATTCTGGAGTTCAGAAGCCAAAAGTTCTGTGGTTCTTTTATATAAGAACTTATGTAAGATATGACTTTTTCCTTTAAGCTGGATTAGTAGAAACTGAATTAACAGGACATGGGGGTAACTGCAGTTTGTTTAAATGTCAACTACATCCTCAGCACAGTTCATCTGTTGTAGGAAGCAAATTTCTTTGTTACAAGTCTTAAATGGAACATAAATTGCTCTAACTTCAATCCACTGGGTTCTGAAGTAATTCCCGAATTTTTGAAGTTGGATAACCTCCTGTTAATTTAATTGAGAAATTATCTAAAGTCGGGATAGCATGAAAGCCCTATGTTTTGACTCTCAATGCACTGTTATAATGATGTATATATTTTTTAAATCTTCCTGTGAAATGATGCGTTTTCATTATTACATGTTTTAATAACTACACTGCCTTTCAGACAGATGTTGTAACAAATAGTTTGGGCTGTTAAACAAAAGTATGGGTGTTTAGATTCAGAGCAGATTGCACCAATCGAATATGAATTGGAAGTAGGAAGAGTTCTGGACAGTTGATGATGGCTGTTGTATGCCTCCATCTGAACGTAAACTGATATAAAATAGATATTCCGGTCGTGGAACCTGTCCAGGTTCCCAGACAGCGATTAACAATAGAGTCAAACAACTGACTGTGACACTTACAGTGCTAGTGCTGGTTTTCATTTACAACATCAGCTGGAAACCATGCAATGTTATGCTACATTTCTGAGCACATTCTACATGAAGTGCATCTGCTACACATCTCTTAAATATCTGAAAAGCTACTGCAAGTGACTGATGTATGGTATGTGAGGAGAGCTGAATGACTGACAGGTCTCCTGAAAAGCTTGAGAACTCCAGATTGGCAAATGAAGAACAGCTCTGCTGGGCAGACCATAAATCTACCTAGCCTAGCAATTGGTAGTATGGGGACTTGGTCAGAAAAGGTAGCATTGAGATTAATAGCCACAGCACATGCATTTTCATAGGAAAAGCTACTTTAGTGTCCATAGTAGCAGTCCCTGGCCTTTACAGTTCGTTGAGTATCAGTAGCAATAATGCAATTCTTTGCAATCAACATGCTTTGCTCTCCCTATGAAGTAGAAGGTAACCTGGACTTGTGAAAAGCAAAATAGATGAGTAGGGAGTGAAGGTGAAAGATGTCAAGGGCATTCAGTTGTCCAAAGATAACTTTAAGTTCTGGTTCATATTGTTTATACCTAATCTCGGTGCTTGTGTTCTTACAGGAGGAAGTAGCCAAAAACTTACTTGCAGAATTCAATTTGGGTTGTGATGCTCACCAAACTGAGCACGTGTATAGAGTCTACGTTGCAACGTTTCTTGGCTTTGGAGGAAATGCAGCACGCCAGAGATATGAGGACAGTCTGTTTACCAGTACAGTGCTTAAAAACAGGTAGCTAGCTGCAGTCGCGTGGGGATATGGGTTCTGTGCATCACTGGGTTCAGTAACCCGCTAACTTGAATATGTTTAGGAAAGTGTTCTGACATAAACTTAATTTCTACAGCACGCTGCATGCAATGCCGAAGTTTCTTTAAATGAGGATGCTTTGTTTTGATGCTGTTGTGTCTCGGAGCTTGATGTTTCTGATATGCAGTTGTTAACTGTGGTTGCTCTTTTATACAGACTGCTGGGCAAACAGACTGGCATGACTTCGGATTCACCCTACCTAGATCCTTGCCTGCCCCTGGATGCTCAGGATGAGATCCAGCAGAACGGACAGATAATGTATTTGCGGGGAACGGGAGATTTTAATCTGTGTCGTGAAATTATTCAACCGTTCATGAATAAGACTAATGAAACGCAGACATCTCTTAATGGTGTCTATCAGCCTGCTGTGCACTTTCAGAACAGTGAATTCTATGGTTTCTCGGAGTTCTACTACTGCACCGAGGACGTGTTACGCATGGGAGGAGATTACAATGCTGCTAAATTTACTAAAGCTGCAAAGGTAAAGTGTTCTTGAAATGATAAACTTTTTCAAATTCAAAGCAACTGCTCTCTAAAGCATTTTGTTCTGAAAGTCTTGCAACAAAACTCTTCCTTTTAGGATCCAAAATCCTTTTACCCTGCAGTGAACTATCATGGGGCATCTCTCTTCCTCATTGGGTTTTTGTTTAGAATCTTGTTTTAAGGCACAATAGTAAAATTGACTGTAGAGGGAAGGGGACTCATGGCAGTCAGGTTCCAGCAGACCTATTGATAATGGGGAAATCCATGCTGCTTCCACCCCTTGCTTCTTTTTAGGAATGTCTTAATTGGTGGAAAAAGATCCTTTTCTTCCTGCTTTATATGCTTTGTACCAGTTTCCCAGGTGTTACTCCTAACAGGGATCAATCTGTCGGGGACACTTTAAAGTAAGGCTACAACATCAAGTAGAGGAATATGACCTGCTTTGTCAGTGCCCTGAAAATAGGTTGTCTGTTTTTCATCTCCAAATACATGACCAAAGAGTTTAAGCACTACTGAATATTGATTTAGGCACAAATGCCAAGTGATGATCAAAATGTTACAGAAAATACCATGAAACGTGTGATCTGACTTACTAGCAGTGCCACGGAAGCCATTATTTTTGAGTTTTCTAGCTTTCAGTATTTACTGAGCATCTTATCTAGTGGCATTTTTTCTTCTCAAAGCAGAAGCAAGGTTGAAGTCTTTCTTTTCTTTTTTTTTTTTTTTCTTGAAGGATTATTGTGCCACTAAGTGGTCTGTCCTACGGGAACGTTTTGACCGTGGTCTTTATGCATCACATGCTGATCTCCACAGATTGAAGTAAGTATTTGTGTTTGTACAGTAAATACATTCATGCAGAGTTGCCAGGGAGAGGTCAAGGTCATGTCCAAATGATCCATTTAATGGAATCATTGAAAGTGTGAATATAACCTTAAATATTGCATCAGCCATAAAAAAGTGCTGATAATTATGTGTCTAATTGTGCTCCCCGGTCCTCTGGGACTCCGTAACTGCTGGCCTGACCTTATGCCACTCTTTCTGTAGGTACCAGTGTTTTAAGTCTGCCTGGATGTACGAAGTATTTCACCGTGGCTTCTCTTTTCCTGTGAGTTACAGCAATTTGAAAACAGCACTGCAGGTTTATGACAAAGAGGTGCAATGGACTTTGGGAGCCATTCTTTACCGAACACGGTTTTTACCTTTAAGGTACCAGTTGTTTTCTCAGATGTCTGGAAAGAGCGTTGGGGTGGAAGGTATGGGAGTTTTGTGAAGGGACGAAGTATGGTGATAGCAAAGCAGCTGACAGATAGGGGGAGACAAGATGTGATTTCTAGTTAATTATCTGTAACCTCAGTACGTATTTCAGGTAGCTTGAGTAATGCTTTTTATAAAGACTATTCTACTAAAATGGGGTCTGTTTCCTGTAGTAAGATAGTTTGGAGGCAACGTTAGATTTGTAACTTAAGCCTGCTATCCCTTTGATTCTTTTCAGAGACATCCAGCAAGAAAACTTCCGTGGAAGTCACTCCCACTGGAGGAGCTTCTCCTTTGTTTACAATCACTACTTGTTTTTTGTCTGTTTTCTGATTGTGCTGCTCTCCATCCTGCTTTACCTGCTAAGGCTCAGACGGATCCACAGGCGAATGTTGCATAACAGCTCATCTACTTCCCTATGGATTGAGGAAGGCCTCCCACCACAGAAGATCTCAGGACCCTTATGAGATGCTGTGATGGAGAGCTTTTATTGGACTTGCTACACAAAAAGCCATTTTTGCCTCAGGGTTCCTACTTTTTGTCCCTTTAAACCATTGAAGAAGCAGATTGCCCAGAGCGTGTAATACAGCAAGGCTTTGGAAATATGGGAGAATGGGGTCGACTTGGCTTAGTCTCATTAGGCAATATCTGCCAAAAATTGCATTTATTTTTTTTAATATTGCACTTTTGTGTGTAATGGGACGAGCAAAGGCTCGTCGTTGGTAAATGAGTAGCAGCAGCTTAAGCTATGTATGGTAAGAGAATGAGTGTGAATTCTCATCCTTTGGGTGAGATTGTGAAATGCCATTAGCTAGGATGAATGAGGACTGTTTTTATTTTCTTTTCCAGATTCCAGGATTGATATCACTTGACTTCTCAATTCTGAGTCTCCTCAGTCAAAGAAAAGGAAGTGCAGGGTTTTCAAAAGCAGTAAGGAAACAACCTTTTAGGACAGCTTATCTGGTTTTATATTCTGGAATAAGTACTGTGATGGAGAAGGAAAATTTATTGCACCCAATGCTGTGCTTCCACAAAACTGCTTAAATCAGTTTTGTTTATTTGTGACAGTTTCCCCTTTTGTCTTGGAAGCTATATCCTTATAGTGGCAAAAGTCACTACTTTTTAATCCTTTATTTCTGTTTCATAATCATTCAGAGATCTCCCTGAAACTCCAGTAAGGTGAAGGGAACTGGAATATGCCTAGGCTTTTGTTTCTGCTAGAGTAGACATGCACAGTGTCTTTTTTTGAGTACTCCAATTTGTTAATTTATATTTTATTTAAAACTGTTGATTTTACTTGAAAGTAACTTTGTCCATGATTAAAATTGGGATTTATATGAACTTTTGGTGTATGGATATTTTTTTTGCACAGTATCACTTCTGTTCTCGCTGTTTGTATCCAACTGGCAAAACTTTCTTCTCTTCTAGTAGGTGTGAACATGCTGGAAAATTGGATGCCGTTTTCAGTACTGGAGAACTAGACATGTTGATACCATTTTTGTCGTACTTAAGGTGCAGTTTAATCATCTAAAAATCTAGATATTTGAATTGTTTTATTGTCTGCTTTCAATATGCTTGCTTTTGCCTTCGGCTGTATAGGAAACTTAGGCTTGGTCTGCTGAATGGCAGCTAAGTTTAGGTGCTAAACTTCCTGCTCTTTCCATCCAGTGTCTGGTAGACGGCTGTGTTGCAGTCATAAGAATTAACTGGGTATGTGATGAAATTTTGAAACGGCAACGGAATCTTTAACTGAATGTTCAGAAATAACAAATAGCATCTTCCTTTTCATAAAAGATTTTTTTGTACTTGACAAATCTAAGCACTTCACCGGCTGAGAGTCTGGTTTGCATTTTGCTATCTTTTTGAGCACGATTGGAGTGAATGCTTAGATAGTGTCTGGAACTGTGATACAAACTTGTTGCACTTGTAGGCTGATAAGAATTATCAGAAAACTGACATTGCCAATTGTTACAGAGCCTGTACTTCCTATTTCTGAGATGTCTAAAACTAGAGTACAGAGCCTCTAATTGCATGCTTAGATAAAGCAGCTCCCTTTGGACAAGGGCCGATATTAGTGGTAAAGTGGAGAGGAAGTATCAGTGTGTGACTTGGCAAAATCCAGGCAGGTGTCAGGCATCTCTTAGCAGAAGAGATAGTGTCTCAAATGCAGCAAGCAAAAAAAAAAAGGCAAGCTAAAAAATGCTGATAAAAAAAACTTATAAAACCGTTAAAATGTCGAAGGAAGAATGTTTCAGACCTAAAATAGAATTTCCTTTTAGATGCTGCAGCATTTTCTTCTTAGCAAAATTCTTAACATGTTAAGAGAATGCCAAAAAAAAAAATCTTAATGTATAACTTTAAAATTGATTCTTTAATAGAATCAGAAGCTCATTTTTATTAAATAATGGACAGTCATGGAAAAAACTATTCTGGCCTTAACTAAGGTGGTATAAACATATTTGAAAGGAAAATCAATTGTCTAATGTCCTAGTTGAACCAAGTGCAGGATTTCAACTCTGCTTTCTTATCTTGTAGGGTGGACAAACTATGGCTGTACACAATGAAGTGTGTGTTTTATTGCCCCCAGGCTTGAGAAGATTGTGGTAGAACAAGCTGCAGCTAGCAAGCTTGGTGAGCACAGTAGGGACAGGTACAGCATTGGGATCATGGAGACAGATTGGTCTTGTGCTTACATAAAGCATCGTGTGCCTGCTTTAGGGTTTCCACACTCGTTTTTTGAAAGCACCACGCTGGGGAATGAAGAGATGAAGCAGGAGTGTTTGGAATGTGAAGAAAGATAAGATGATGAATGGTGGTGAGAAAGTGATCAAGAAAATGGGGCGTGAATGGGCAGGAAGCTTCCAGTGTACCAGTGACTGCTCTGCAATGTACAGTATGTCTTGTCTTTTTTTTTTTCTTTCCCTTTGACTTTTTTTCTGCTCTAGGATCCTAGCAGTATTGTCCTGCTTTTTCTAGTGATTTGGTTCAGGAAGGGCAGAGTAAAGATGACCCAATACACAATTTCCTCCTGTAATGGTAAAAAGATACTGATTGCTAGGAGAGATTTGGTTGTGGGAGTAGCTGCTGTTCATTAAAAATCTAAGCAGTGTGTGAAAAAACACATTCAAACAAGCCTAAGGCCTAGAAACTTCAACAGGCTTTCTTCAATGATGCAAAATAGTGCACAGAGGCCTATTTTATTTCTGTATGTTTTCCCCCTCATTCAGATATCAGGTGGTAAACTGCTTGATAAGGTGAGCAGGTGTCAAGGTGCTTCCAGTGAGGAGGGGGTGAACACTATCTTCAAAACTAAAACCAGCTGGCTCTTATCTGCTTGAGGACCGGCTTTCCTAAATTCTTTAAGGTCTTTAAGAAATCTCATTAGATGGTCAGCTGCCCCTCCCTGTGCATGAGAAGGGTCAATTTGTCATTGTAATGCCAGTCACGGAGCCTCACTTTCACAACTTGTGTGTTTGGTTTTTTTTCCCTTCCAATAAACTGTTTCCTCCCATTGCTTCTTGGATTTGTATTTCTTTGTGCAGGTTTTCTGCTGCATTATGTCTTTATGATTGTGATGCTAACTGAAAGATTTGAGGGGAATAGGCTGAGTTTCTTTAAACTGACTCTCAGCTGTTCCATCCATGACCATGCAGTCTCACAGCCCGGTAGCAGTACACTGAGCTTCAAGAGGTTGAGTACACTGGGAAAGCAGCACTGGGATCCTATTTACTTCCAGCAACCTGGGGGTTAAGCTCCTTGATCTCACACAGGTATAGGGGGCACAGTGAGAGGCAGCTGACTTAATTAAGTTTCCTAAAGGTGCACAGGAGAGAGCCCTCATACTCATTAGAAGCAAGAGCCTATAAGAGCTGGGAGAACATAGGGCTAAGGAAGAACAGGTGGTGCTGTGCTCTGGCCTGGTGCACTTTGGACATATTACTGCTTATCTGAGGTATTCTGCCTTCAAAGTGAAGGTTTTTAGCCCTGTTGGAGACAAGGAGGGAGGACTGTGGTCTTGTTACTGTGGAACTATGGGGAAGGTGCAGTGGAAGTGTGGTAGGATGCTGTGGAGTGGTTTTTGGTGAGGAACTGAAGTGGAAAACCAAGCCTAAAACTGACTGGTGGCTTTGGATTGATTTACCAGCAGTCCTGGGGTAGATTACTGTTGCTTGGAGAGAAGGGAGTGTGTTGAGAGGAATTTCAGAAGATTCTTAGGCCATGGATCTAAAAATGTTGATTGGTCTTGATCTGTGCCTTTAGAAAGAGTAAAGCACCAGTGACTTGGAATCTCTGGCTTTGCTTCTTTCAGGAAGTGGTTTTAATGCTGTAACTGGGATGTGCTTGGGTTTTGGGTATGGAAGAGAGTAGGGGTTTTGTCCTGAGAAAGTGTGCTTTAGAGGAAAGGACACTAAAAACCATCTTTGAGCACTGGCCTGACCATCAGGGCAGTGTAGAGCAACAAAATGGTGCTGAGCGTGTCAGCCTGATTATATATGTATGTACAGGTAAGGAGACTTTGGCAGTCCAGCCCCTAGTGCAAGGGGTGAGCTCAAGCCATGCACCATCCTTCTGTGTAATGCAGCACAGGATTTCAGCAAGCGGACTCCGTGAGGCCATTCCTGCGAGGGCTTTGTGTGAGTTCATTGCGTGTTCCTGTTTGCTATATTGAGGCTGACAGATGCGTGGGTGCCTTTAATTGCTTTAAGAGCTTAAAGCCCACAAGGCATGGGGAGGAGGCACAGATTTTCAAAAGCAATCAACTAAGTGCTAAACCTAAATGCCTGGATTTACAAGACTTTTTGGTGATTGAACTATCCTGTGGCAGAGGTTTGCAAATTCAGCTCTTAGCTTCTTTGAAAATCTGGCTGTAGTGTCCCGATAATTAGAATTACAGTGTGCGTGTGGTGGTTTTTTTGTTTTGTTTCTTCCCTCCACTCCCAGGGGTTTACAGGATGGGACAAGGCCTCTGGAAGAGGAGGAATAAGTTTCTGACATATCCTGAGGTGAAGACTAAAACCATATTATTCTTGCAGCTCTTTTTGCAGCTCCAGATGAAGGGGGTGGGGAAAAAAAAAGGAAGCCTTTCCATCCCACCCCTGAACAAGCCTGCTCCAAGGAGACTACGCTAGGCAACAGCACCAGGGGAAACACGATTCCTGTAGGAGACTTAGCAATACCTGTTTTCACTCAGTGCCTGTTCCTGGGCTTGGATTCCCAAGTCACAATGGTAATGTTGATCTGTTTGCGTCTGTTTCTGCATTAACATGCTTTATTTTCTTTCTTCTTCCTCTCCTATTCACCTTGTCCTTTCTCCGGGTCCATTAAGGACAGGTAAAGCATGCAGAAAAGCACAGAGGGGAGGCAGGGGCACTGCTCTTTGACCTGTCCCAGTGACCTGGAATGGACGGGCTAATGATACTGAAGCTTTTGGCTTCATGGCTGCTTAAACATATCACTCTTCTTTTTGTTGTTTTGTTTTTGTATGTAGAAAATGTCCAAAGCAAACAAGGCCAAATGTGGCCCCTAATGGAAGAAGTGGTTGGGAGACAAAAGTATACCCATGAGAAAGGCAGGGTATGATGGAGAGGGTGGGGAAGGGAGGAAGCACATGGCTGCTCCAGGAACACCAGCCTGAAGGAGGTAGCCCTGCAGCTTGTG